TTTTACTTCTTTATAGTAATTCAGCTTTCAGTGCTTTGAATTCTTTCCTAGTGTTTCTAATTTATTTCTCTGTAATGACAGTGTATTGAGCCTGTTTGTTTCCTTAGGTTTGCAATCTCTTCATTTCATTTTGACGTTTCATCACCTCATCTTTGGGCTCTTGTTTTACTGAATTCATGTCTTAAGCTGTTCTGTAACTTAAAGCAATTCAGAAGAATTTCTTTCTGTTCCTCAAGATAGGTTTTCTTTTGGGTTGGGTATGTGCATAGCACATTCCTTTTTTCTTTTTTCACAGCAGTGTATTAGCTTGATTGCCATGCTCTTTTCATCTTGCTCATGCTTTTGCTGCAGAATATTCTATTTGTTCTAATAAAGTGTGGGTAAATTCTTGACTCTCTTTCCATCTTATCTGAGACCAGTTTATCTTCTTTAAGCCAGTTGCAGTGGTAGATATTCAATATCCTATCTACTTTTCTGAAGCCAGTGAAAATTGGGAGAAAAGGGTGTATGCGTGTGTGCGCATGTATTTAAAAAGTTCAGCTGAGGCAGTATGCAGCCATTTTTAGAATATGTGGGCTCAGCTCTTTCTTCTGATATTTTGTTTAATGTCCTGTACCAGAGTCTCCTCCACTAACTTGGGGAGATGTAAGCCTATTTCCTTGGCCCTCAGATCATTTCCTGAATTCAATATTTACCCCTACAGCATTTATTTCTATCAGTAAGAGTCAGCCCTGTGGTCGAGTTTCCTCTACACACATTTTAACTCAGCAACTATTTCCATTATTTCTTAAGCAGAAGAAGGAGAAGACAAAGATACCCATGTAGTTTTCATCCTCCAGGTTTGAGATTATTAGTGAGATTTCTCAGGGGTTTTTCAACTTATCTGAATGACTTTCTGAGACGTAGTTGGGAAGGTGGAGTACGGCAGTATGGTAGGAGATGCATGATGCTGTGCTTCTCTGCTTCACTCCAGAATCTTTTGGCTTATTTTCCTTGGTCATCAGGTTTTCAAGTTGATGGCATAAGGGTATGTTCCTTTCCTTATTTCCTTGCGGTAGGTAAATTTTAAATGTTCTTTTTCTCTAACTATTCTTTTCTCATTTCGTATACTGGTCAGTGGTAACACCACTCTTCCAATCTCCAAGGTCAAAAATCTTTCTGGCATCTCTGATGTTCCTCATCCTCTAAATCCAATATATCACCAAGATCTATTGTTCAATTCTGCTTTTGGCAATACGGAACACCAGATATTTTTTAAAAGCCCTCTGTTATAAAATACAGCAAACATTCTTTCAAATAAATAGGCAAATCTTGCAAGAAAGTAAGAAAATTCCTTAGGGACTATAATCAAAGAGGATGCAGAAAACCAGTGTAGTAAGCATGAAACTTTTGCTGGACCGTCCTTGAGGGCATTTGTCAATACCAGACACTAGAACTGGGAGTTTTAACAGTCCCAAAGGATTCAAATGACAAGGCCATGGGCCCATACTAAATGAGAATTTGTAACTAAGACCCTTGCATTAATACTGTGATCCTCAAGGGACTATATCCTAAGACTAAATGAAAGAGTAGGCTAGGAAAAACTCAACCCACTTGCTAAGGAGGCCTCTTATCTCTCTTAGCCTCAGTTCTAGGTGGTTTGGGTCCTCCTCTGAGAATTCCTAATCACAACATTGCTGTAACATGGATTTGAGGTATGAATTTATTCTATCTTAATGGTTTGGAAAACTCCAAACTGAGAAAATTCTTAAAGTAGTCCTGGATTAGTAAAATCCTGGGATGCTGGCAGAAGCAAATGCAAACCCTGCCCAGAGGACTGCAGCCTCAACCCAGGCCCCAGAGTTACCCAAACAGACACTTTCAATTTAATATGATCATGGCACAGTGGATTTTTTCCCCTCCGAAATGTCTTTTGAACTCTCTCCTTCCTTTCCAACACTGTTCTTACCCTAACTTCTACTTGCTCCCAGTGTGAACATTCTAAGTTAGGACAGAGTATAGGTATCATCAAGAAGGGCAAGAGAAATAAAGCAGAAAACCACATTCTACTTATAGCAAATCTAGCTGCACAAAATCTGGAAGAGCATGTGTAGCTGTGACTGCTATATCTTACAAAGAGAAAGTGAGAAAAGAAAAACAAAATAGTAACATAGTTTGAGAGCATCTGGAGAAGATTGTATATAAATATAAGAAAAATTTACCTTAAAAAGACAGCAACTTAGAAGGGATGGAACTTAAGTCTATAAAGTCACAAAGTAACACATATATTCATACACTGGAACTCAAAAGTGGTCAATTTAATTTAGAAGCCAGAGAGAGGAAACTACTTTAGGACAAATGGTAATATCTCAAGTCAGTGTTTTTCTAAGTGTGGTCTGAAGATCAACTGCATCACAATTATTGAGGGAGGGGGAGGTGTTAAAAATGAAGATTTCTGTGCCTCACTCCAGACCCAGTGAATCAGAATATTAGGAGAGTGGGCCCTAGTAATCTGCATTTTTGTGAACTCTGAAACCAATTCTTAAGCACACTGAAATTTGAGTTTCACTGTTTTAAAAACAGGAAGGAGATGGAATGAACATCTACTGTTTTGACTACCCAAAACAGCATAACTCTTTCTTCTCCCAGTTGTGGTTCAAATGAGTTCTGCCATCTTATTATTGATCCCACTCTGCTGGCCACAGCTAATTGAGCTGCAGGAAGGTAACTGTCTCTACCTGGGCCAATCAAAACCTTCCTTGAGATTTTTAAAGAAGTTAAAAAATATGAGCCCGGGAGCTGTTAGCAGCTGTGTAGAAGAAGTCCACTTAAGAAACTGAAGCCAATAAGGAGAGAGATGGAGTGAAAATGTCCTGGCTATATTCTGGACTGGGATGCAGCCATCTCTGAGGTCTAGCTGCACCCTTGAAGTTGCATTACATGAATATCATTTTACTTGCGTGAGTTGTTCCAAGTTGAACTTCTGTCAATTATATCTTCCTGAGTCCTAATGGTGCAGTGGTTAAGTGATACAGCTACTAATCAAAAGGTCAGCGATTTGAATCTACCAGCCACTCCTTGGAAACCCTATGGGGCAAATCTACTCTGTCCTATAGGGTTGCTGTGAGTCGGAATCAACTCGACAGCAGTGGGTTTGGTTTTTTTGGTTTTGACTCACTATGAGACAACCATCTTTTAAAAATAATTTCAGCCCAAAACAGAAAAGTCTGTTGAATAAACCACAGGTCTGTAGCATAATTTGGTAATTCTCATTTCTTGGATAAATAAACTAGCAACTTACATGGATTCAAAACAAAACTGCCTTAAGTAGGATGTTCTGCCCTATTATTGATGAAATCCTGTTCCCTGAAGTAGGAAAGGGAAAAGGGAGAGACTAGAAAGAAGGAAATGTGGATTTTAGATGAAGAGTTTCACACATTTCATAGCCAACAGGTACAATTTTCATTCTTTAAAGAAAAATTGCAGAAACATATTCTGCTGCTGTCAGTTGAAAAACGGTGATATAAAAGCATTATACAGAACTCTGACTTGGAAGCCAGGAGTTTTATATACCATGGGACTCAAGTAGGTTGAAAGAGCTACTTTAAGTACAATCATGAAGGACACACCTGACCTTGACTCTGCCCTTCACATAAGAGGCATTCTCTGCTATAGATACACCCCACCCTTTATATCTACCATCTTGAATCTTGCCCTCATACTTTAATCTTGCAAATTTCCTGTTTAGGTGTATAGATGTTACCTAACAATAAATATTTGTTGAGTGCCTACTATATATAAACACTGTACCAGGCACTTGGAGATAATTTATATTAATAGCCCCTTCTTCAAGGAGCTTATAAGCAGGAGACATTAAACATCTACAAATAATAGTAACACAGGGCAATGTATGATAAATATCATAAATAGCATTAAGAACTATAAGATTTCTGTCATTTGCAACCAGAAAGAGTCCTGATGGATAAGGAGGTGTTTAGAAGGCCTTATGGGTGTAGTGTTTTACACTGTGGAGAAACTGACAGGTGGTGAGATGAGGGCCAAGGACATTCCAGGTGGAAAGAATGAATAATGGCACCATGATAGGGAGGCATGACAGGAGTAGTTCAGGGTGGATGGAAAGTAAAATGTGTAAAGGAATGTAATATGAGAGAAAGGGGAAGGGCAGGTGGGGGCCAGAATAGTGACAGCCTAAAATTCCAAACTTAGGGTGTGAGCTACCTCAATTCTACTCTTTGGCAGTGTTCTTTCCTGCTAATTTAAACCTATCTCCCCAAGCTGAACCTACTCTTGATTCACCTCCAAATAAATCTCCACTAATATCCAATTTCAAGGAGCTTTGGTGATGCAGTGGCTAAGTGTTCAGCTGCTACATGAAAGGTCGGCAATTGGAACCCACGAGCCTCTCCACAGGAAAAAGACGTGGCAGTCTGCCTCCATAAAGATTTACAGCCTTGGAAACCTTATGGGCAGTTCTACACTGTCCTATAGGGTCGTTATGAGTCAGAATTGACTTGACAGCAATGGGTTTTGTTTTGGTTTAGTACTCAATTTCACCCTTCCCAAATCATTTTTGCTAGATTTCAATAGGCTGTAAAGATCATAAACCAAAATAAAGCAATTTTCCATATAATATTCTAAAAAGAGAGGACATTTCAAAATGCTCTAAAAACACACCTGCTAGTAAAACCTGCTTATATAGAAACATGTTTCCTGAAAAGTTATATCTGCCAGTTAGGCTTTGTGTTAACTTGCTCATTGTTGCAGATCCCACACCTAACACAAGGCCTTGCAAACAGAATGTGCTCAGTACACTGGCTGGCTGAACAAATGATATGATCACTACATATCTGCAAAGGTCTCTTATTCTTACCTTTCCCAATTTATTTTTAAAGTCTCCATTTCAAGATTACCTACATAAATGCATAGATGAAAATACAGATCACTTGAAAAGGGTTCTTAATTTCTATGGATTTACAAACCCAGATAAACAATATACTCACTTTGTGACTCCGTAGTCAATTCCAATTGTTGCCAGGTATTTAGATACAAATCTTTTCTCACAGTATCGCTTTATAATACAGCTCTAAAAACGTAAAAATACATCCATTTAGTAAATATACACTGGACCATACACAAAACAAACTCATTTCTTCATTATGGTTTCTTCATTCACCACTAGGAAAAATAAAGCATTTTGAAAAGCCAAAATTATAAAATAACAAATGCTAAAGGAAAGACCAAAGAAAAATCCTTCCATTAATAACAAATGCGGGTATGTTTTCAGTTTAGTTCTCAATCCTTGTACTCTTGTGTGTGTGTGTGTGTGTGTGTGTGTGTGTGTGTGTGTGTGTGTGTGAAGACCTCTTCTAGCCTTACACTTTCAATATCACCAAAATATATATGTCTATGCTTCACCTCCCTCCCAAGACGATTCCCATCTCCAAATATATACTAGACTAGTTTCTACTTAGACGTCTCATCATCCACCTCAAATTTAACGTATTCAAAAATGAACTAACCTCACACATGAAAACAGCTCATTCTGCTGAACATCCTAGTTTAGTTAATAATGCCATCTCCTTCTCAATCACAGGGGATCAAACTATTGAAATCACATTTGATTCCAGGCCTTTATTTATTAATTTATTTTATTGTACTTCAGGTGAAGGTTTACAGAACAAATAGTTTCTCATGAAACAGTAGTACACATATTGTTTTATGACATTGGTTAACAACCCCCCAACATGTCAACCCTCTCCCATCTCGACCTTTTTTTTTTTTTTTGGTGAAAATATACATAGCCAAAGATACACCATTTCAAAAATTTCTACATGCACAGTTCAGTGACATCGACTATGCTCCTCCAATTGTGCTGCTATTCTCACTTTAGATGAAGGCTTACAGAACAAAATAGTTTCTCATTTAACAGTTAGTACACATGTTGCCCTATGACAATGGTTAACAACCTGACAACACATCAACGCTATCCTTACTCAACCTTGGGTTCCCTATCACCAGCTTTCCTGTCCCCTTCTGCCTTCTGGCCCTTGTCCCTGGACTGCTGTACCTCATTAGTCCCATCTGGTTTCACGGGGCTGTCCACTCCCTGGCTGAGGGTGAACCTCGGAAATGACTTCACCACTGAGCTAAAAGGGTGTCTGGGGGCCATACTCTCGGGGTTTCTCCAGTCTCCTTTAGGTGATTCCAGGCCTTTCTAAATCATCTTTTAAATATTTCTTCCATCCTTCCCTTCATTCCAATTTCCATCAGTACCACTTTTGTTGAGGTCCTCATCATCTACTCCTAGACAGCTACAGGAAATTCTGTTTTTGAACATTTTATTGTGGTTTGGGTGAAAGTTTACATAACAGTTTCTATTCAACAATTTATACACATTTTGTTTCATGACATTCGTTGCAACCCCTTCAATGTGACAGCACTCCACTCATTTCCTTCTTGAGTTCCCCATTTCCATTTGCCCATCTTTCCTTCCCCTTCCTGCCTTTTGGACTTTGATTTTGGTTAAATGCTTCCCTTTTGGTCTTGTATGGTAGATAGTTCTGAGAAGCATATTCCTCACAGGTGTTATTGCTCACTTTATAGGCCTGTCTATTGTTTGGCTGAAAGGTGACCTCCGGGAGTGGGTTCAGTTCCAGGTTCAAAGGGTGTCTAGGGGCCGTAGCCTCGAGGGTTCAACCAGTCTCTATCAGACCAGTAAGTCTGGTCTTTACTATGAATTTGAATTTTGTTCTCTATTTTTCTCCTACTCTGTCCAGGACCTTCTACTGTGATACTGATCAGGGCGGTCAGTAGTGGCAGCTGGGCACCATCTAGTACTTCTGGTGTCAGGCTAGTGGAGGCTGTGGTTTCTGTGGTCCACTAGTCCTTTGGACTAATTGTTTCCTTGAAACTTTGATTTTCTTCATTCTTATTTGCTCCAGATGAGAAAAGACCAATAACTGTATCTTAGAGGGCCGCTCACAAGCTTTTAAGACCTCAGTTGCTACTCACCAAAGTAGGATATAGCACATTGTCCTTATGGACTATGTTATGCCAATTGACCTAGATGTCCCCCGAGATTATAGTCCTAAACCGTCAAAGCCAGTGACTTAGTCCCTTGAGGTGTTTGGTTATGGCTAAGTTTTCATAACTGTCCCATGTGCTCTACTATATAGATATATTTACAGCACATACAAATGCATATGTAGATACTCTCTGCCAAACCTATATATGCTCATGGGTGTACTTCCTTATGCCATCCCACACCTGTCTAGCTTACCTATCTACCATGTATCTACTTGCAAATTATTGTCATTATTACTATTATCGCAGGATTGTGTATGTAATAATATTTACCGTTGTTGCCGTTTACTCTTGCATATCTGTCAGTGTCTTCCTTTGCCTTGGTCATGTTGTGCTGACTTCCCCCACATGGTGTACTATCTTTCCCGAGTTAATACATATCCACTATATAGTTAGTGATTTTCCTTTCCTCCCCCATCATCTCTGATAACCATCAAAGAATGTTTCTTTTTGTGTGTTCTGATTTTTTATAATAGTGGTCTCATACAATATTTGTCCTTTTGTGATTGACTTATTTCACTCAGCATAATGTCTTTCAGGTTCACCCATGTTGTGAGATGTTTCACTGATTCATTGTTATTCTTTAATGTTGCATAGTATTCCACTGTGTGTACGTACCACAGTTTATCCATTCATCTGTTGATGGGCACTTAGTTTGTTTCCATCTTTTTGCTATTGTGAATAAGGCTGCAATGAATATGGGTGTGCATATATCTGTTTGCATCATGGCTCTTCTTTCTCTAGGGTATATGCCTAGTAGTGGAATTGCTAGATCATAAGGTATTTCTATTTCTAACTTTTTGAGGAAGCACTATAGAGTTTTCCACAGTGGTGGTACCATTTTACATTCCCACCAATGACGTATGAGAGTTCCAATCTCCTCACACCCTCGCCAGTGTTTGTTTTCCATTTTTTTGATCATTGCCATTATTGCTGGGGTGAGGTGACATCTCACTGCTGTTTTGATTTGCATCTCTCTAATGCCTAATGATCGCAAGCATTTCTTCATGTATTTGTTGGCCGCCTGTAAGCCCTCTTTGGTGAAGTGTCTATTCATGTCCTTTGCCCATTTTTTAATTGGACTGTTTGTCTTTTTACTGTTGAGGTGTTGAAAGTTTTCTATAAATATTAGCAATTAGTCCTTTGTCAGATATTAGTCCTTTGCCAAAATTTTTTTTCAGTCTATAGGTTCTCTTTTTACTCTTTTGCAGAAGTCTTCTGATAAGCCTAAGTGTTTAATTTTGAGAAGGTTCCAGTTGTCTAGTTTATCTGCTGTTGTTTTTACATCTTTAGTTATGTCTGATAGTCTATTTATGCCATAGATTAAGGCCCTTAGGTTTGCCCCTATTTTTTCTTCCATGATCTTTGTAGTTTTAGGTTTTACGTTTAGGTCTTTGATCCATCTTGAGTTAGTTTTTGAGTATGGTGGGAGGTATGGATCTTGTTTAATTTTTCTGAAAATAGATACCCAGTTTTGCCAGAACAATTTGTTAAAGAGACTATCTTTTTCCCATTTAATGGATTTTGGCCCTTTGTCAAAGATTAGCTGTCGATAGGTGGATGGATTTACTTCTGGGTTCTCAATTCTGTTCGATTGGTCTATGTGTCTGTTGCTGTACCAGTACCAGGCTGTTCTGACTACCATGGCTGTATAGTAGATTCTGAGATCAGGGAGTGTGAGGCCTCCTACTTCGTTCTTCTTCAGCAGTGCTTTGCTTATCTGGGGCCTCCTTCCTTTCCATATAAAGTTGATTAGTTTTTCCATCTTGTTAAAGAATGTTGATAGAATCTGGATCAGGATTACATTATATCTGCAGATCGTTTTGGGTAGTAATGACATTTTCACAATGAGCATGACATTATCCATGAGCATGGTATGTTTTTTCATTTATGTAGGTCTCTTTTGGTTTCTTGCTTTAGTGTTTTGCAGTTTTCTTTGTATAAGTCTTTTACATCCCTGGTTAGGTTTATTCCTAAGTATTTTATCTTTTGGGGGGCTACTGTAAATGGTATTGTTCTCCTGATCTCCTTTGCAGAGTTCTCTGTTAGTAAAGAGGAATCTGACTGATTTAAAAAACAAAAAAAACAAAAAACTTGTTTTACTTCATAAGACATCTAGAGATAGGTAAAGGCTGGTGTTGGATCAGCAGCTCAACAATGAGAGGACTGGCATCTCTGTGGCTCTCTTGGCACTTCCTTCCCTAGCGGTAGAAAGAACTACTGTAGCTCTAGCCATCACTTTGGTGTTTGTGGCAGAAAGAGGGAAAGAGGTGGCCTAGCTGCATCTGTCACTTTAACCAGGAAGGCAAAGGCTTTCCCAGAAGTCCCCTAGCCAAAGCTGTGTGCTGAGGCTACGCCAAACTGTAACAGAGGCTTAAGAGTGAGTCTTTAACTTTTCCAGGCTCTTTAGTGGAGACACGTAAGAGAGAAGAGGATTGAGAATGGAGGACAAGTTAGATCACCAACATTACCTTCCTCAGGTATAATTAACTTCTCTTTTACAGTGGGTACTTTGTATATCAATAAATTTCTATCAATACTTTTAAGATTATAATCTGAAACTCAGTTCTGCTTTCCATCATAATTATTATGCTTTCTCATTATTATACATTTTACATATTTTTAACAGATGCATTTCACAGGTCTTCTTTTCCCTGTTTTTGTTTTTCTTTTCTTCTCCCTAACTTTCTAGGATGGGACTAAAATAAAATGACTTAATTTTTCAAGAAAGAGTGGGAAAGATAAAAAAGCAAATAGTGATAAAATACTTTCAACCACTCCACTCAGTCATTGTCCTTCCACACCAAAGAACATCTAGAAAACATCCCCACATATTTTGGCATTTAAAAATTGATACAGCTGACCAAAGTCCATGTGGTTTCCTCTGGCTCCATTAGCATTAAACACTTTTTCTCTAAAAATTGAAAATTTTCTGTCTTTCCAGTTCATCATTTGTATCATCAAAAGGAACGTATTCTTGATGGCAAATTAAAATTCTTT